GAACTCGGAACAAGATCACAGTCGATGGACAGCTACAGATGTCAATATCAGAGCAGTTTTCCTCCCCACCCCGCCCCCATCAGCCTTTTCCACATATGGCAGATTCCCCCATCCCCTTCTCTCTTCTCAGCGTCTGTTTGCTGCAAGTCTTCCAAATCTCCCCAAATTGATTCAGAGGCTTCCAATTTGATTCAGACCTTTTAATGGGTCTCCTGATTCAATTCGGATTCAGAGATTTGGCTGCCGAATTGGGCCAAATCTCCTCCGAATCGAATCGACTACTGAAGCTTTGCACAGCCCTAATATCCAGTCCCCTCCCATTCCCGCACGCTTCCCACCCCTCTGCTCCTGCTGACCAGGAATGGGGGAGGCGTACAGTCACTCCTGTCTGCTTCAGTCAGATTCTGCAGGTAGCCGGGCTCAGCCAAGGACAGAAATGGCAGTCCCCTTCCCGGTCCTGTCCGTCCCAGTCCCCATCCCGCCCCACAGTGTTCTCTGAAGCAGGACAGAAGCAGCTCTGTCAGCCTCCTATCCCCAGAGCAGCCAGGGACAGCAACAGCAGCAGGTGGGGGGGCAGGGGCAGGGAGGGAAGATTCTTACCCAAGTGCACAGTCAGGTATGCCCCCCAGTTGGGTGGACGTGGGGAGCTGGAAGCAAGGGGTGCAGTCACCCCTACAGCATTGATGGCTGCTCTGACACCCCCGTTTTCCAAAATCCTGAGTATGTCCATGGTTATGGCTGTGTAGAACAAGAACATCACCTAATCTTTAGCTTGTTCACTTTCCCTTCTCCTTCTCCAAGAAAAGATAGTTTTAATTTTCACAGCTGACCTGTCAGTAGCTTCTGGCTCCTCAGCCAAAAGCTGAAACTGTAGCTATTGCTAAAGACTGGACTCTATGGGAGGATCTAGAATTTGGACAAAAGCTAAAAAAAGTCTGCACGGCTGTGAAACAGAAGAGAAACCAGGAACAGCTAACAGACAGCCAAACTGCCAAAGAAGGGATAGCTTGATTAGTAGAATGGTAAAACTGCTTGAGATAGAGAAAGAGTCGTTAACACCTATGGGGTAAAAAAAGAGATTAGCAGGAATCAGATAGATTATAATGAGCCATGAAGTCGATTGATTCCCTCCAGGCTGCCTGAGTAGAATGCCACGGCTTAAGCCAGTAATTCTCGGGTGCCATGAGATCCTTTTAAGGGTGCCACATAATGTTAGCACTTTTAGGTGTAATTTTAAAGATTCTAAGGATCCCCTTTACATGCCTACAGTAGATAAGGATGCACAAAATAAACCCAGAGATTTCAAATAGTAATCCATAAAATCAAAACTTTCTGACCTGCTGTGGTCTTTGAGTTCTTTACACCAGAAGAATTGCTCTATTATTTTTCTACAGGTAAAACAAAACATGTAAAAACTATGAATTGGCATTTTCTGAGGGGTGCCTCAAGTCTAACAAGGAGAACCACCTCTTCTCAATCTTGACAAACCACCATTTTAAACTTTGAGTGGAGCAGGAGTGAAAACTGGGTGCAACCACATTACTGCATCTTTCCTAGATCTGCCCCTCCTTCTATCTGGCTGCTGGAGGGAAGAGAAGGAAAAGTGATAGCAGCTGTCTTACAGCATCTCCATACTTCTGTTCTGGGCATAAAAATAAGCTTCCCCACTCCTACTGCCAGGACCTTCACCCCCTGGAGGCAGAGGGTAGACCAAGGTCACCTTCCAGGACAAGGGAGGACTCGGGGATCTCCCATACTGTCCAGCCAGGGGGTTAGACCAAGGCCTGCTGCACCAAGGTCCCCTCCCCTCCAGAGCTTCGCAACAGGTACAAACTTCTTGCAGCCCCAGTAGAGCCTTCAGAGATGCCAGCTCCTGCAGGCAAGGGAGGATTACCCATCCCTACTCTCCCTAAGACAAAATGCAGAGTGGTCGTCATGGGAGACACCTTCCTGAGGGGGACTGAGGAGGCAATTTGCCGACCCAACCCCTTAGCCCAGGAGCCCGCATCTGGGACATAACCGAGAGGATCCTAAAGATTCTCCAGCCCTCCGACCACTACCCTATGCTTCTTATCCATGTGGGCACAAACAACATGGCTTGGAGCAATCCCAGCCGGGTCATGAGAGACTACAGGGCTCTGGGGCTTAGGGGGTTGGGGGTGCAGGTGGTCTTTTCCTCGCTCCTCCCGGTTGTGAGTCATGGGCTGAGGAGGGAGAGATGGATTGAGTTAGTCAACCAAAGACTGCAGTGCTCGTGTCATTGTGAAGGCTTCAGCTTCCATGATCACAGTCCGCTCTTTGGTGAGAGAGGCAGTGAGCTGCTGGGAAGAGATGGCCTCCACCTCAGGGTACTTAAGGAGCTGGCAAGCATCATAGCTCTGCCACTAGCATGGATCTTCAAGAACTTGTGGTGCTCAGGCAAAGTGCCCGAAGATTGGAAGAAGGCCGATGTGGTGCCAATCTTCAAGAAGGGGAGGAAAGTAGATCTGGGGAACTAAAGGTCCATCAGCCTGACGTCTATCCCAGGGAAGATCTTGAAAACAAAAAATCAAAGAGCCCATTCTTGACAAACTGACTGAAGGCAACATCCTGAGGGATAGCCAGCACAGGTTTGTGGCAGGTAGGTCTTGCCTGACCAATCTCATTTCCTTCTACAACCAGATGACATATCACCTGGACAAGGGAGAAGAGAGTGACGTCATATATCTTGATTTTAAAAAAGCTTTCGATCTGGTATCCCACGATAGTCTCATAGAAAAACTGGCCAACTGCAGCCTCGGCTACATTACAGTCCGCTGGCTGGGGAACTGGCACCGAGGTCGGACCCAGAGAGTAGTAGTTGACGGAAGTCAATCATTGTGGTGCACCATGACCAGTGGTGTCTCCCAAGGCTCTGTCCTTCGGCCTATACTCTTTATCAATGATGTGGACATTGGTATCAGAAGCGGACTGGCCAAGTTCACTGATGACACCAAACTTTGGGGTAAAGCGTCCACACCCAAGGACAAGATGGTGATCCAGGCCGACCTTAACAGGCTGGAAAACGGGCGGATGAAAACCTGATGGCCTTTAACACCGAAAAGTGCAAGGTACTCCACCTTGGGGGAAAAAAACCCATAGCATGCTTATAGGCTTGGCAGTGCTACGTTTGCTAGCACTATGGCTGAAAGGGACTTGGGGGTCATGATTGACCACAAGATGAATATAAGCCACCAATGTGATGTTGCAGCCGGCAAAGCAAGCAAAACTCTGGCTTGCAACCACAGATGCTTCTCTTGTAAATCCCAGGATGTCATCCTCCCTCTGTACTCAGCCTTGGTGAGGCCGCAGCTGGAGTACTGCATCCAATCCTGGGCTCCACAATTTAAAAAGGATGTGGAGAAGCTTGAGAGGGTCCAGAGGAGAGCCATGTACATAATCAAAGGGCAGGAAAACAGGCTTTATGATGAGAGGCTGAGAGCTATGGGACTCTTCAGCCTTGAAAAGCTCAGGCTCAGGGGGGACCTGGTGGCCACCTATAAGTTTATTGGGGTGTTCACCAGGATCTGGGGGAATGCCTGTTTACCAGAGCACCTCATGGGATGACAAGGTCAAACGGTCACAAACTCCTCCAAAACCGTTTCAGACTGGACATAAGGAAGAACTTCTTTACTGTCTGAGCCCCCACGGTCTGGAATAGACTGCCACCAGAGGTGGTGCAAGCACCTGCTCTGGACTCCTTTAAGAGTCAATTGGACATTTATCTTGCTGGGATCCTGTGACCCCAGCTGACTTCCTGCCCCTGGGGCAGGGGAGTGGACTCGATGATCTTCCAAGGTCCCTTCCAGCCCTAATGTCTATGAAATCTATGAAACCCCCCAGAATTTTAGAAGGCTAATTTTTGGGGGAAAAGATGCACGTGGTATGTGAGTAAATACAATATTGTTCTTAATGGGCACCCTCTTAAGAGGTGTTTTAAAGCCAGGGTGTTAAATATACAGCCTGTGGGCTGGATCTGGCCTGCAGAGCCCCATACTCCAGCCGTTAGTGCTGCCCCATTGCCCCACATGCCATGCCAGTTATTCCTGTGCTGCATGCGGTGCTTGCTGGGGATGAGTCTCAAACTGCTCAGGTGCATACTTGAATAACTGACTGCAGACAGTTTGCTAGCTCCATTTGCTTGAGAGAGAATATTAACATTTTCATACAACAAATGTCACTTTTCACTTTAATACAATCATTCATCTTAAACTAAAAGCTGATATTTTTCTGTAATTTTCTTCCCTACCCTCACCTCAAGAAACAACCTCTCTCAATTTTGGGGTTCTTTTCTTGAATTACATCTAAAAGGTATATCTTGCTATATAATGAATCATTCAGAATTTATAAGTTCAATAGTAAGTTTAGAGAATTCAAATGGTAATTTTACAACACACTGCCACTCTAATAGAAAATGGAAAAGCCCATCACAAATCAGTCACTAAAAAAACAAACAGAATTAAAAAAAAAAATCTGCAGCCTGATACTCCTGCAATTTACAAGCCTTAAACAGATGGAAGAGTTTGAAATCCAGAGTTTTGTTTTACCATTAGTTAAGAATGCTGAACACTAAAAATAAATATATCACAGACGATAAATCAAAAGGCAATCAATGATTCCCTCAAAGCTACTGTAGGCATGTAAAGGGGATTCTTAGAATGCAGCTAAGCCAAAGTTATCCTAAGAAAAAGGGAGGACATGCATTCTTTGCTGATTTACTACATTCAGCATTAAAACCATGGAGAAGCATTAAGTACATAGATACATACATAATATACTATCCAATATTCAAGCAGTACAGGAGTAAGAAGTTAGTAGTTCAAGTAATGCTTTCAAAGACATGCTCAACTAACACTTTTGGCAACACATTTTTAAAATGTACTAAATGTGCATCTATAGACTCTGTGAATGACCACCACAAAAGCTTTGCCATGTTGCAAGTTACAGCAGCCACTGAAAGTACTGCTAAGTAGATAACTTACCTTGTTCATTGCTTTCAGTTGGAGATTCCTCATGCCGAAGGAAAAATTTCACCTCTTCTCTTCTAGGTCCCCATTTCTGTAGATGGTCATACATCATATGATCAAAGGGTATGGGGCGTTCTGAAAACGTAGAACAAAATTGTCCGATTCCAGCAATATCTTGCAAGTTAGCATGATCAACATTAAGCAAAGTAAACAGAAGTTTACAGAGATTTCAATTTATTTGTAAAATGAGGGTATGTCTTTCTTGGTACTTCAAACCTGATTTTTTAGGGTTTTTTACATGTAAAGTCAAATAGAAACCAATAAAAAATAAAACACGATATTTAAAAATTACACTATTCATGCAATGCAACTAACTGCCTACCATCCAGAACATTTCAAAGTTTATAATCTTGCTGTATGCATATTTAAATCATGTCAGAAATTCTTCATCACCAGCACTCTCTCAGACAGCTGAAGTGTTCAACTCTGCTCCTTTCTTTTTTTTTTTCTTATTTATTTATTTATTTTAATTACCAGCCGGGTTTTTTTTGTTCCATTACCAAAAGTGCTATATAAGGCTTGGAGTGAAATCCCTAGTCTAAAATGATATATAATCATTTGATATTTCACCCCTAAGAATCTGGCTGCATGTTCCCACTCCACAACAGGAGATTATACACTATTAGCCACTAATATATAGACTAATACTGGATTACAATTATTGGGAAAACAGAATAAATCAAAGTAAATTCTATGCAACATTACAACTAAGTCTTAAACAAAGAAATAAAAGCACAATATCCTATAGCTATAACGTCACTTAATTAAAATTAGGGTATTTCTTTAAGGCCTGTTATGTTATTAGCCAAAAAATATTAATGGAGGAGGAAGGAGAGAGAAGCTTATTGTAAATTCCAAACTGGTGATTTTTTTAAAATCTAGTATATTCAGATTATACCTTCATCAGTTTTTCAACCTGAACTTTAATGTTTAAAAACCTTACTTCACAAAAGGCTGTCACTTTCCTAAAAATAAACAGCCAGAAATGTAAGGAATATGTATACAAGAAGAAACCAATAATGCATTTCAGTCATCAGGAAAGGCACTGGATTTTAAAACTCCATGTAAAATGTAAGGACAAAATTCTTATTTATTAAAACAAACAAAGTTCCCACCAGGTATGGCTACACATTGAAAATAACCAGTAAGATTAAGCTTCTAGATTTCCCTCTATAGATAAACTGTGTTTTAGATAAATGTAGTTTGTTTTGTTATTGTTGGATTATTTCAAGTATTTCAGATTAAAAACACTTTTCCTCAAGGAGTGGCATGCCTCTGATCTACCTTTTGTCCTCTACCAGCCAAATGCTGACCACTCCCCCAAAGACTATTTGGAAAGCAGTTGCAAAAAACAGGCTGGCCAGAATACCTGCTAAATGAAGTAGGAACAGGGAAAACAGAATAAGAAACCAGGTTTGAAATTAGAGTTCAGGTTATCATTTTCATCTAAGCATTTTGTTTGGACACTCTCTGGCAATAAAAGAAATGCAAATTAAACTAATATTTTCCTAATCTAATAAATATTCATCAAGAAACAATTTCAATTAGCCCCATACTGATCTCTATGCTTGCACGGCTAGATCGTTACTGTTTCTCAAGCTAGCTTGCTTCTCTCTACAATACACAGTACTCGGCAGGGTAAACATGTCCTACCGGTTTAGTGGATTTTATCTAGAAACTGCATGCAAAGTCCAAATTCTTTTCTGTTGACTTTAAAGCACTAAGTATCTCAGGGATCTTTTTAAACACTTCCTCACACATTAAAAGTAAAACGGCAACCTCCAACTCTGAGACAACCATAATATTAGGAAAAATAAGCCTTGAAACATTTCTTAAATAATACTTTAGAGGTATCAAAAAAATGAATCTGGTTCAATGTGGCAGAATTACCAGGAAGAACACAACTTTCCAAAATGACAAACACCTAACTATCTGTCAACTGAATTTAAAAGCCTTAAATTTTGAAGAAAAACAGCCTGAGAAGAGAGAACACGTGTGAAAACTCAAAGAGGGTACATAAAATATACTAAATTCAAGAAAAGTCTTTATTCTTATATTTCCTGGGCTAACTGAACTGTAAAATCCACAGATGCTCAGTTTTTAGAAGAAGAATAAAAGTCCTCATACCTTAAGTACTGTTATTCCAAATGACCATAACAAGCAGTCAAACATTTTCCCTTCTCAAAATTAAAAAAGAGAGTTAAGAAAATAAATCTAACATAGCGAAAAAAGTGTGGGGGAAACCCATCAAAATTTACTTGTATTATACAAGGTACAACATAGGAAAAATAAAGTTAAAAGTTACAGCACAGAGAGGATGGCTGGCAAATAGGCTGGGACAACTCAACCTTAAACGACTGATTGTGGGCACTAACTTTTAGGCTAAGCACAATCAAAAAGTCCGAGGCTGAATCAATCTTTGCACATTAACCTAAACTGCGTAGATTAAATGGAGAAGCAAGGGAACAGACATTCACTTTTGATTCCGGAAATGCAGGCACATGCCTGCAGTAGCTCAGGCCTGAAGCTGGGGGGCACTAGAGTGAGCCCTCCCTTCCCTTTGGCAGTGGCCGGAAGGCTGGAGGGAAGCTAGGAGAGAAGCCCTCCAAGCTTTTCCCCCCTCCCTGCTTGAGCTGAGGTGGGTGGCACGTGACCAGGCCCCAGCAGGCTGCTGAGTATGATTGGGGGGATTTAAACCCCGACCCTGGCCTGCACAGACCCCAGCCAGGGTATCTCTGGGAGGCGAAGGAGGAAGCGGCTTCTGTCAGGCTTTTGTCCTGTTCCCCGCTGGACCCCAGCCCAGCCTGGTATACTGAGGCAGAGGGGATAGGGGTTTTAACCCTCTCCCCCATCTGCACGGGACCTCAGCTGGGATCTGCTTGGCAGGGGTGTGGCAGCCTCTGCTAGGCTTTTCCCCATATGCTGCTTGAGCAAAAAGGACAGGGGCATGGTCAGATGCCAGCCCCGGGTCAGCATGCTGAGGCGGGGGGGGCAACATCTGGCCACACCCTTGCCACCTCTGCTTGAACAAAGAAAAGCCTGGCAGGGGCTACTTCCCCCTGCCCCTCCCAGAGACACCTTGGCTAGGGTCTGTGCAGGATGAGGTAGTGATTTTAAAAGCTCTGCAGGAGCTGCTGCACCCCTGCCAAGCAGACCCCAGCTGGGGTCCCATGCCAGTGGAAGAAAGGGTTTAAACCCCGCTTCTCCTCGTCACCATAGTGGCTGGCCAGGGGCTAGCGTCTGGCCATACCCTGCTTCTCCCACTCAAGCAACAAGCAGGGAAAAGCCTGACGGGGGCTGCTGCTCCCCTGCCAGGCAGACCCAGCTACAGCCCAGACCCGGGCTTCCCACCCCTACCCCGTTCTCCGCCAGCCAGAGCAGTGGTAGTGCTTTGGCTAAGGAGCAGAGGGACATCCAGCCAACCCTGCTCCATGGAGCTGACAGCACAGCCTAGCCCAGGGCAGCAAAGCCTCCTGGGATGCTGGTGGACTGAGTTAACGAACCAGGAAGGGGTCTGGGACAGAGGTTTCATAAACCAGTTTGAGCCACATCAGTTAAGTCTGATACTACATTCAACCAGATTTATTGGAAACCAGTTTTGGCCATTTTGAAAGCGGTTTATGTGCACTGAACTTCTGTTCTGTTACAGGTTTAAACTGGTTTCTGATCACTTAAACTGATTTGTGTGTGTGTGTAACTTCTGTCCCTAGTCTTAAAGGTTTGTGTGCCATTGCTATATCTTTTAGCACCTTTAAGTATCTGGGCAGCATAATCTTAATTTTTTTTGATAAATTCAATCAGATTATTCCCAAATTTAGCTCAACAAATGTGAGCAACAGGTGATTTTCTTTTTCAATTTTTTTTCTTGAACTTGGATGAACTTTGTCTTGCATTTCTAATAGCAAAAATGGTTCAAAATATTCTGGAGGGGGGAAAAAAGTATTTCCCAGACATTTACTGAGCAGAGGCTTCCTCCTCAGAAGCTGGTAAACTCTGTAGAGCAAATCTGAGGCTAAGGCCCTTCACACTTGTTTCTCCTAAATTGCTCTTCATTTTTTTTCTGTAAATCACACAGAGGTGACATGTCCCAGCTGAAATCTACATTAGAAAGAGAAGTTGAAGAAACATTCTTTTTCTTCCAAAAAGCCCTTTTAAAGGGATCTAAAGGTCTGCAAACTGGAGTTGGCACTCTAGATTTAGCCTTATGTCCAACATTCAGAGAATGAGAGAAAAAAATTAGAGTGAAGCTGCTATATGGTTTCTTCTAGCCACTGGAAAGGTATCTTTGTCACTGTGTTATGCTTTCTGAGTCATAGTAAAAAAAAAAAAAAAAATCCACTTTACTTCTTCCACGACTACAACACTAAGACTTCTGGCAGACCAGTGGCATGCAAACAACCAAAAGAACATTAGTCAGAATTATGGCATCTGGCAGTATTGTGGGTGGTTGATACATCTTATCCAGCTACTTCAGACATGGCCAGGGATGGACAAAATTGCTTTAATTTAATTTATAGTCTCAAGCATTCTTCTAGGACACTGGTACTCAACCTTTTTCCTCAGTGGGATGGACGGGTAGTGCCCAGTCTGTCTGCGAGTCGGATATGGCTGGTGGTCTGATCTGGCATGTCGCACATGTGCAGCAGGCCCTATCTGGCTGCACAGAGGTGGATGTGAGGCAGCCTGGCCCCAACCCACCCTGCGGGGGATGGGGACTTGACCCAGCCCTATGGGGATGGGAGGGGTTGTGACCTGGCTCCAACAGGGCCCCACAGGGGGGAGGGGACATGGTCCAGCCCTCTGAACTTTGCCCCATAGGGAGAGGGGTTATGGCCTGGCCCTGATCTGGCCATGGGAGGAGAGAGGGTGTGGTTTAGCCCTAATGACAAGCCCTGCGGGGTTTGGGATTTAGGAATTTGGCAGTGGGGAGGGTGGATGCATTAAATTGCTACCACACCCCTACTACCAAATATCCCAACCCACTGGGATCCTTGCAAGCCAGATGCAATGGCTCTGCAGGTCGGAGGCTGAGCACGCCTGCTCTAGGATGTATGCTTATTCACTAATTGGCCATA